CTGTAAGTATAAAATTCTTCCTCTGTAACAAACATTTCTGGGTCTGTGTGTCTTACCATACCTGATAAGAACCAATTGTGGGTACATTTTTAACATATCCACATTCTGATAAAACCCAATAACCTAAGTGTTTTAGAATTCACTCACTTTTACTAGGTCACCTAAAAATAGAGGGACAAGGATGAGAAATTCTAGTTCAAGGCTCTAATCACTAGGGAAGAAAGCATCCTCTAAGTACTATCTCAAATCTCATTCTATCTAACTGCAAATGAGAATCCTTACTTGAAGTGCTAGGCCTGTGAACATAGTTGTATTTTTATGAATCTGTTTATATAACGTGTATATACACATGTGCTGTGAGCTTCCCAAGGCCAAGCATGACAACTCACACGTTTTTGCTTCTCCTAGCACAGGGAAGGATCACATTGCATAAACAGTATTTTTTAGTGATTAATATATGGCCAGTGAAGTTACAGTTTGGACCAAGTTGTGGATCTGTTACTTACTACCTTAAGCAAGAAGTTAACTCATGGCTCAATTTCCTCAACTATAAAATAGATATAATGATATGGCATACCTCATACAATTAAATTAGTAATATGTGTAATAAACTTAGCAAAATTCCTAGAATATAGAAAGCTTTCAATAGGGGCACCTGGGTGGCTCAGTCAGTTAAGCATTCCACTCTTGATTTTGGCTCAGGTCATGATCTTAGAGTCGTGAGATCAAGCCCTACATGGGTCTCCCCGCTAGGTGTGGAGCCTGCCTAAGATTCCCTCTCTCCCTCTCCCTTTGCCCCTCCCCCACCACTCGCACACAAGTGCGTGCTCTCTCTCTCTAAAATAAAAATTAAAAATTAAAAAAAAGGAAAGCCTTTGATATATATTTTCTTTTCTTTCTTTTTTTTTTTTTAAGATTTTATTTATTTGACAGAGAGAGACATAGCAAGAGAGGGAACACAAGCAGGGGGAGTAGGAGAGGGAGAAGCAGGCTTCCCGGCAGAGCAGGGAGCCAGATGTGGGGCTCAATCCCAGGACCCTGGGATCACGACCTGAGCCAAAGGCAGACACTTAATGACTGAGACACCCAGGTGCCCCTGGATATATATTTTCTAATATCATCATTGTGGTGGGTGCTTTAAAGCCACAGGTTAAATAGCACTTAAGACAAAGTCTCTTCTTACTATGGTCATATTGTTTACACCTACCTATCAGTTTAATTAGGAAAATAAAACAGAAAGAATATTTAGTAAGTAAGTTCTGTAAGTCAGACACTGAGCTAGACCCTTTGCTTTACTTCATCTAATCCTCTTACAAACACTATGAGGTAACATCATATCTGCCTTACAAATGAGGTGACTAAAGCTCAGAAAGACCAGTCTCTTCATGATAACCCAACTTTTAAGTAGCAGAGTCAGGATTTGAATAAAAATCTGTCTAATTCTCAAGCCCACTGGTCCTTGTTTCCTCCCAAGTAGAACTGAAATCCAACATCCTAGGAAAGTTCAATTATTATGGGAGCTCCTGGGAACTGGCAGAGAGCAGAGATAATATAGTGATATGCTCCTTAGCAGAGAAAATATCCAGGGTTGCCCCTTTGTAAACAAAAAATATGGGAATAGAGATACAAGCACTGAGAGGAAATATGAAAAGACAGAAGTAGATGAAACAAGTACTGGAAGAATTTAGAAATGAAGTAGAAAAAAAATTATAGTATCACAAAAATGAAGTTTACATTAAATGCAGCAATAAGGAGAAAACCCTGACACAGATATAGTAAAACACAGGAGGATGTGGTTAGAAAAGTGAGTAAAATAAAATGGAAGTAAAAAAATGGTTAAAAAAAAGTTCAGAGAAGAAGATGATAAATATGGAAGAAACTAAGAAAACATGAATGAAAGCGACATTCCTGAAGAAGAAAATCCAAATAATGGAATAGAAAAATATTTAAAGATACAATTCAAAGTGACTTCTACTCACTATCTCAGGTAGCATCCTCCTAGGACAAGTTAGTTCTTGCAGGGGAATTTTGTCATTCTCTACAGAGTTAGACCAAATCGAGCTCTTCTTCAAATGCAGCTCTATCAGCCAATCCCAGGACTGCAATGGTTTGGATAATAAAATTGAGTCCTCAGGTATAAAAGCTATATATTTTTCCCAAAAGAAAGATTGATCTACAAATTAAAATTAAAAGAAACAATGGATCGTGGATCACTACATCAAAAACTAATGATGTATTGTATGGTGACTAACATAACATAATAAAATTTAAAAAAAAATTAAAAGATACATCTCATCCCTAGGAAAAAAATATCAGAACAATTGTTCAACTTCAAAGATGAAAAAGAATCCTTTTAGTATCCTGAAAAAAAATACCAAGACACTTAAAGAGGGTGAAAAAAAACCAGTGCTAGAAAACAGTAAAGCAATGCCAACAAAGTCCTCAAGAAAAGAAAGTGTGACCCAAGAATTTTATTATCCACCAATACAATGTCCATACAAGACCTACACACAAATAGTAACAGCTTTATTTGTAATAGCCAAAAAATAAGAGCAACCCAAACATCAAATCAACAGCTGAATGGATAAAATGTGGTAGAGTCATACCATGGAGTACTACTCAACAATAAAAACAATAGGTAAATGCTTCTGCAAATGCAGGAGTTCAGTGGCTATAGTTTTTCACTTGTGGAAGCTACTAGAAACAAAGTATTATTTAACCACAAGAACTGAAAGGCTTCATTAAAAGAACTGCTGGTTATTTTGTGTATTTCATCCAGTCAACCAAAGGAGAATAACTAGAACAAATATGGGTATTTATTTACACAACAGAAGGTAAATGTTATAAATCCTGGGAATGTATATGTGATAAAATTAATAACATGTTTAAGGTAAAGGAGAAGGGACGATATGTGGTGACTTCAGTACAATTGTGTTTGGCTCTTGTACAGTCAGAATTAAAGACCCCAACCACAAATCCAAGGGGTGGACCCTGGAAGCCAGGACACAAGGGGAAAGTTGTAAGTAACTATTTCCCATCAGACCTCAGCCCTGACAAGAAAACTGTGGTCAGAGGGCCTCAATGAGGGAACTCTAAGGAACTTACAACAGTGTCCCAGGAGAGTGTCAGTGTTTGGACATCTGTTGTCTTAGGCTGGATTACGGAGAAGCAGACTCTAAAATGAGGGTTCATGTGCAAGTAAGTGATTTATTAAGGAAGTACCCTCAGAGAATCTGGTAAGGGTGGGGAAGGGGTAGATAGGAAAGGGAAAGAGAAGCCGCCGAGGGAGGATACGATTTTCAGCATAGTATCAGCCTCATGCTGATCTTGAAGGGAACTCTGGAGCATAAATTACATCTCAAGAGTTTGTCCCCTCTTGTACCAAGGGAGTAATAAGGCTTTTGTTTTCCTGTTCCAGTCACTCACTAGCTGTGAGGGAAAGGAGGAAGACATAAACTTCCAGACTACCAGGAACACATAGATTTCTATACTTTCGGGGGAAGAGACTACAGTAGCCCAAGGGTGTTCCTATAAAGAAAGTTGCAGAGGCAACCCCTCCCCCCCCAGCCCACCAACCCTGGAAGAGCCGAGAAAACAGGGTGAGTGTAGAGGAGCAGCAGAAGAGCAAGGCTGGGAAATGTGGGAAGGCAGGCTAAGCCCCAAAGCACATCTGAGCCAGAGCCAAGTCCCAGCTAGCTAGGGGGAGATGTTTCCATTGGGAAGAGAGAATGATGTTTTGATTTTAATCCACACTCTTTAAATGAAAGTGAGACAGTCTATTAATACCTGAAAGTGACTAAAAAAACTAAAGGATGTATCAGAGAATTCATCCGTGGGCAGGCAAGGAAACAACAGAGTAAATTTCAAGAGTTGGTGATGAGCAGAAATAAAGTTACTTGTTTATACCCTCCAACTACAACTCATTCAAAAAACTGCTTACACATGTGTGCTATATTTTGCTTATATTCACATAGGTTAGCTTTGGAAAAATACGCAACAAATCAGTAACAGCAGTTGCCCCTGGGAAAGGGAACCAGGTGACTTTGAGGCAGTCAATAATTTATTTAAAGAAATAAAATCATTTAATTTCAAAATCTTTTAACTAATAAGGAAAACAAGCAAACAAAATCAAATGGGAAAGTACCTTGAGTTCTATGCGCTACACAATAAATGAATAGTATTCTTGCACAAAACATTCACCTAAGTATCCTCACTGCAACCCAAAGTAAATGTGAATCACCTACCACTACACATCTATTAGAATGGATAAAATTACAAAGTCTGACCATACCAAGTGTTGGCTAGGGTGTAGAGGAACTGGAACTCTCATACACTGCTGGTGAGACTATAAAATGATGCAATCACTTCAGAAAACAGTTTGACAGTTTATTCAAAAAATTATACATACACTGACCATAGGATCTAGCCATTCTATTCCTAAGTATTTACCCCAGAGAAAAGGGAAACTATGTCCATACAAGACCTACACACAAATAGTAACAGCTTTATTTGTAATAGCCAAAAAATAAGAGCAACCCAAACATCAACAGCTGAATGGATAAAATGTGGTAGAGTCATACCATGGAGTATTACTCAACAATAAAAAGAAAGAACTATTAAGACATGTAGTATCAATGGCTGAGGGGATCTTAAGGGACAGACACTTTACACTGTTTCATTTTAGCCTCATGGGAACCCTATAAGCTAAGTACTACTCTGGTGAGTTGAGAAAACTGAAGCTTAGGGAAGTAAGCAACTTGTCTGGGCTCATACAGTTGGACATAGACCAAGCCAGTCTCACCGAGAGTTTTCACACACACACTTTACTCAGCAAAGAGTGCTCTGGGTTCCTTCAACCCATCAACTTCTTCCAGGTGAAACTGTACCATCTAGGAGATGACCTCCAAAAATGAGAAGGGGTTCAGAGTTTGTGGGGAGAGGGTAACTGTAAAGGAGGAAGAAACTTTTTCTTTTTACAGATAATGCTCCAGAGGACTCACCCTTTCTTATCACTCAGCTCCAAATTTTCAAGTCTTAATCTTGATGTGTCAGATCTGGGGACCCGTTCAAGTGCTCCCCAGAGAGGCTGCCCTTCTGTCTCAAGACACAGGTCCATACAAGCAGCAGCTCCACCTGGGCACCTATTACCAAAGCAAGCTGCAATTTGATATTCTCTTACTGTTTACTTCTGCCTTAATTACAGGGTGGGGGAAAGAGCACCTAAAGTTTGCCAAAAACTTCGGTGATTTTTTTTTTAAGTTCCTTCCTTTCTTTCCAGTTGTTCAACTCTGTTGGGAAAGGCAAAAGGAATGCTTTCAGAACTGAGCTCACTGCTGAGTTGCCAGGGTTTAGAGATCTCTGCAAAGGTCATTGTTTTCTCTAAAGGTCATTGTCTTTTCATGAAAACCCCGGCAAAGCATGCCAATGCAGGAAAACCACCAGCTTGCCAAATGTCCAGTGTCCCAGTCACCTGCTCTTCCTGCCCTAGGAAGGATGTGGATGATCTCTGGAGTAAAGACATCGGATTGGTTTTGTTCCATTCTTGCTCTTAAATCAGCTGCAAAATGCATGAACAAAGCACATACAGTACAATTCTCAGAGCCCTGTGCAGCCTCCTTGTCAAACACCAGCAGCTGCTGGGTGTAGCACAGACCAAGATAAGCAATATGACATTTGTGGCCATTCTACACTGCATCCTGAGTGCAGATCATTGTCTTTCAATGGAATTTCTGGGGTTTCAAGCCTTGAAGAATACCCACCAGTGAAAATACGGAGTGAGGGTGAGCTCTGGGCAGGGGGTCCTGGGTGGGGTGGGGGGTGTACAGCAGGAATGGCAGGCAGAATCAAGAAACCCAATCACGAGTTACTTGCTCTTTGGAAAAGCAGCTCTGTTAACAAGAGAATTAGGGCAGGATGATTTTGGCAAGCCTCATGTTATGTTAGCTGCACAAACTTTTCCTTTCCTCTTATGCAGCCTCTTAATAATTGGGTGGGAGCTTCTTTTCACATTTGACAAAGAGGCGATTCCTGTCAGATGTTTTTCAGAGGGGTTCCACCTTAGGTTTGCCAAGCACACACAATTCCAGATGCAACTCTGAGTCTGTTTAGTTTGAGAAGATTCAACTTTGCAGCTTTCTTGCCATTGGCAGGGTTTTCATTCTCTTCCTTTTCTCACAGTTTTCTCACATTACTTTAAGGGAATCTTACCCTTATCTCCACACCAGGTCTTCATAAAAAATATAATGGAGTGAAGAAAACATTCAGAGTGTTACCGGCGGCAGGTGGCATCTAGCTGGAAGCTGCCAAACCATATGAACGTGTCCTAATTGGAGACATTTCCCTTCCCCCACTGGGTGCCTCTAATTTACCTCTCTATAGGCAGATATTAATTTTCATACCCATGGTGGGGCTTGATGGAGGAAATTACTTCAACTACTTCCTTTCCATCTTCCTGCCTATTCCAATAGCCTCTTTGTCTCCTTCCCTTCCTCCCACAGCCCTGCTTCAGCCACCCATCAGCAACAAATACAAATACAGCTCAGTGGTGTTCCCGCATCTAAAAGACAGGTCCCCATAAACAGTCTGCATAGACCCCATTCCAATCCCTGCACCCAGGCCACTACCCCTAAGAGTGTTCTCATCACCATCTGAGGCTAGGGCCAAGATGGGTATTAAATATTACAGGGCTATGGTGGAGAAATTGCCCCCATACTGATCATGCAAAAAAAAAAGTAAAAGAAAAAATGAAAAAAAAAATCCTCTCCAAAGAAAATATCCCTAGAAAAAGTTTGTTTAAAAAAGGTGACGAAACATATAAAAACTTTCACTTAATATGGATTATTTAAATATATGTGTACATATCCTTTCCTCCATCCCTTTCATTCATTCATTTAATTTATACCCATTTAGAGTATATTATATGCCAAGCACCATTCTAGGCACTGGAAATTTGGCAGGAAAGAAACTAAATTCCCTGCCCTGGGATATAAAGAAAAAGTAAGTAAACAGGGAGACAGAAAGTGATGGAGACTGGGAGTTTTAGATAGGCATTCATGGAGGCCCTCACTGAGAAGGTGACAGCTAAGCAGAGACCTCAAGGAAGTGAGATATGAGCCATAAAGATATCTGAGAGAACACTCCAAGCAGAGGGGAAAGCAAATGTAAATGTCCTGGGGTGAGAGTAACCTTGGTACACTCAAGGAACAGCAAGGAGGCCATTGTGGCTGGAGTAGAAGGAACAAGGAGAAAGGAATAGGAAACAAGGTCATAGATGAGGGGACCATGATAGTGTAGGCTCAGAATGAGATTGGCAGACTCTGGCAAGTTCTGAGCAGAGGAGAGATGCCATCTAAATAATGGTGTAGAAAGAACTCTTTGGCTGCTGGGTGGGAAGAGACTGAGTAGGCAGGGACAGAAACAGGTAGCCCAGTTCAGAGGTAAGTGCAGTAATCCAGGCAATAGGTGATGGTGCTGGGATAAGGTGGTTAACAGTGGAGACAGCAGGAGAGGAGAGTTTCTGGATATAATGAGAAGACAGAGCTACAGGATTTGCTGATGTATTGGGTTGACTGCATGTTCTTGGTACTGAAACATCAGAAATAGGGGCCTCTTGAATTCTAGTGCTTAGGCAACGGGCAAAGACTCCATTTACTGAGTACCTGCTGTGTGCCAGTTGCAGCCTTAGGTACTTTCACAGAAACTTCTTCCTTATAAGTCTACAGTAGCTTTGACTATTTCCATTTCACAGATGAGGAAAGGGAAATAGATCTGTGTCAGCGTCAGCCAGAACCCAGAGCCCATCACCCTGAGCCCCTTATAGAGGGACATCCCCTGGGGGTGTGCAGAGCAGAAGGCTTGGTGGGTATCCATGAGCTCAGCAGGAGTGGGCACCAAAGTTAGGGAGACCTGACATCCTCCCTGACTGCTGCAGCTTCTCATCAGAACTCCAGGGTGGAGCTGCAAGTCCAGAGTGTGACCCAGCCCTGAGCTTCCTCACGGAGATCCAGGATGCAATTGCTAGGGCTGCAGTTGCCAGAGGTGGGAAAGCCTACTGGGCAAAGGCAGGAGATCTTGGTGACCCTTCCAAGCCCAGGCCCAGCTTTGCTGTACAGACAGGGAGGGCACCACCAGCTGCTGCCAGTAGTCCCTGTAGGCAAAGCTGCTGAAATTCAGACTTTCCACATTTTGGTCTCCACACCCCAAAAGTTTCAGCTAGCCATCCTGGGAGGAGCCCAGAGGTTGCTGTCTGAAGGCCAACAAGTGTTGTTTGGAGGAAATGGGCCCACTCAACCCGAGTGCACCTGCACTGGGCGTAGTGTATTTCTCCTCTGGTTGCCAGAGCAACAAAAACAACAGTAACTACTGAAACCCCCTTAACACCACAGCTCAGACTGACCCTGATCAACAGAAGCTATCTCTGCATCCTGGTCTCTTCCATGTTCTCCTGCCCACCTACACATCTCTGCTCTGATACCAAGAACTTACCTAATCCTTGCACTGAGCTGAAACTGTTCTCAAAGCTTGATAAGCTGCACTCTTCCTGGCACGAATGGGTTTCTCTGATCCCCAGACCCCAGAGAGAGGGTGGAAGCCTGGATCCAGGCATGGAGCACAATGTCCGTCTGAGGGAGGGCTCCCTGGAGGCTCTTCTTTGGAACTGCTGCACGGGCTACTTTATTCCAAACCCAAGACAAATGTGCAGTCTCCCTAGGTGTGGCCATGGCTGCAGACTCCAGAGTTTGTGCCCCAACATACATGGGTCTGGCTACTTCCCTTATTAATAAATCCCATATCATGAGAGGAACTGGAGCTATAGGTTCAGCCATTTTCAAGGGAATTAGTATCCTCATCCCACACAAGGAAGGTCCTACTCTCAGAAGACAAGTGATTTATGGTAATTTCTGATACCAACCTATTCCTATGAAAGTGCCTGGGGAATGGACAGCTTGTCCTGCCTGTTAATTCACAAATGGGCATCATGAGCCACAGACATGTTTGCTCTGAAGCAAAGTATACAACCCCAGCCTCAAAACCATGGTTACAGTGTGCTTGACTGGCTCACATTTCCTCTCTGAGGCTGCAACAGAGCATCTCATGCTGCATCATGAGACTGGATACCAGGGTCCTTCCCTCCATTCTATTAGGATCCACCACAGGAATTATCCTGAGGGTGAGGGAAAAGGGTACCTCTATGTTATTTCTTTAGTTCTCTCTGAAATCCCACAAGTTAGATACAGCGTTTCCTACACATTACAAATGAGAAAATCAAAGTTCAGAGAGACTAAGTGACTTGCCTCAGATCACAGTAGCAGGACCAAATAGCAGGACCAAGACTTAAATCCAGATTTCCTATCCCACCTTATACTCCAGTGGTTTATTAAAGGGCTTAAAAAGGGGGCTCCATTTCTTGATTATTTCACACAATAAACCAAGGCATATATGCCAAGCCCTATCTTTTAAATTCTTTTTTTCAGCTCTCTATATAATGTCCTCTGCACTTTAATAGGCACTGAGATGAGTGACAAAATGAAAGAGAGCTCTTACTGAAAATCGACTTTCAGTTTCCATTCTTTCTACAAATTTTTGCAGAGAGCATCACTTATATACAGAACGCTTTGGAGATTACAATGCCATGATACATAGCCCCTCTACTCATCAAACCTGCAATAGGTCTGGGAAGATAAGACATGGACCCCAATAATTATCATTCTAAGCAGATATGGTTTGGGCCCCAAGAGAATGGTGCCATGTAGGGTACTGAGAGGTCCAAGGGGTGAGACATCACTTCTGTTTGACATAATCAAGGAAGGATTCCTGGAGGGGTGACTTTAACGCTGAACCTTAGCTGTCACACAGAATTTTCATAGAGATTGAGGAGTTTCACTTTTAAAAAACATCCAATTAGACATTATATTCAGATTTTTACCCCCACTCCCCAAATTTTGATATAAATAATAATAATAGTATTTCTAGTATCATTCTGCAACATGGCCCTTGACAAGGAGCATCTCCCAAGACAGAAAAATTACCAGCACCCAGAGAAATAGAACCAAGCAGCCCAGTTCATCTGACTCTATCCTAAGCCCATGCAAAAATGGGTGACAGACTTCCCCACACATTGTACCATCCTCTCTTCCCTCACTGTCTGGTGCCTGCCTGC